GTAATATATGCTGTTTGAGAGCTAAACAGAGAGCTAATAATATTAATAAATTTTGTGTGAAAGTTCATTTTCCTTAGTACTTCCAGGATAAAACTGTGATTTATCCTGTCGAAGGCTTTGTGTTGATCCAAAAGAACAATCCAGTGTGGTAGAGAAGGGTCACTTTGGTTTCTCATAACTGTAATAATATCCAAGGCGGCGTCAGTGATTGATCTTTCCTTTATAAAGGCCTGCTGTGAGGGACCAATTATTGTTTGACATATGGCATTAACTCTATTGGCTAGAATTTTCATAAAGATCTTTACATCACAATTGGTGAGCGATATAGGTCTCCAATTGTTGATGTTTTCCAGGTTATCTGATTTCTTAGGAATTAATGTAATAATGCTTTTGGTCCAAGATCTGGGAATTGAGCCAGTTTCTAAGCAAAAATTGAAGACCTCTGTAAGTACCGGAGTTACCACATCTTTCATTTCCTTATAGAACTCATAAGTGAGTCCATCAGAACCTGGAGCCTTGTTATTCGGAAGTTGGTTAATGATATTGCTAACCTCCTCTTCTGTAATTTTGTTTGTCAATTCTAGATTTTGAGTTTCTGCGATTTGAGGAAGATTTTGAACAAAGAATTCTAATGCCTCTTTGTTAATTTCTTCTGTTTTGTAAATTTCTTGATAAGTGTTCCTGATATATTGCAGTTTGCTAGCCGAACTCTGGTTTATACTGCTATTAGGAATTGAAATTTTATCTTGTATTGAAGTATTGTTCCTTGACTTGTATAAAGAGAAGAAAAATTTGGTAGATTTTTCTCCTTCCTCAATCCACTTTGCATTTGATCTGGTTTGCCATTTGTCCGAAAGAGCCTGAAGCTCCTCATGTAGCTGAGTGTCCAGACTATCTCTTGTGGCCACCAAATTTTCCGCATCGTTTCCTCTTGCTATTTTGTTGTCAATTGCTGCTAGTTTTTTCTGAAGCTTGTGTATCTTCTTTTCTGGGGCTGGAGGAGGTCTGTATGCCCTGATTATTGATTGTAGTATGCATTTGTGTAAGTCCCATTTTGAGAAGTTTGTAACATTCTCTAACTCTTCTACTAATTCTTTTTTGAGAAGCGAATTGCTTAGACATTTTCTGTCAAATCTCCACTGTTTTGGTCATGACTGATCTGAGGAAAGATGAAGTTCACATTCTACTAGCAGGTGGTCTGAGTTGCCAAAATAAGTGGTGACTCTTTTGCAATACTGGCCATGATTAGCATCTATAAAGATGTAGTCAAGTCTTGTAGCCATTCTATGACCTCCGCGAGTATTTTGATAGTAGGTAAGAAATAGGTCATCTTCTTTCACAATTGTGGCTGAGTCTATATATTCTGATATAAGTTTTTTGAGAAGCTCTCTTGTAGGATCATTTGCTATTGTGGCTTGACTTATTCGGTTTTTCTGTGGATCCAAATTTGTGTTAAAGTCACCAGCTAGTATATTGATCTTTTCTTCTTCAATTTGAGGAGCCCAACTGTTGAAGAACCTAGCTCTGTCTTCAATATTAGGTGGAGCATATACATTAGCCACCCGAAAGGGCTGTTGTTTATGTGTAAATTCTGCAGTAATAACTCTTCCATTGTGTGATTCCTCAATGTTATTGAAAATAATATTTCGATTTCCTGTTAATATTGCTGTTTTAGATGTCCAATATGAGCTATAACCCCATTGATTTCGTAAAAATTCTCTTGTGACTGTGTTTTCTAAATTAGTTTCCTGAAGCATAATTATATCTATATGATAAGATTTCAGTAGTGTTAATGTTTTTTGTGCTTTGTCTGGGTTGTTCAACCCCTTAATGTTTAAGGTTGCAATTTTGATTTTGTTAACCATTAAGTTAAAAATGTTGAAAGTATTAAGAAGTTCCTTAGTAGGGTTTGTAAGCTTTTGAGGCTAATCCAGACCCTGACTGTATTTTGTTTCCATCTGCTGCATTAATTTTGTTACGGTTTCTAGCTTTCTTCTTTGAAGTAACCACTGTAAAACCATCTGATTCCTCTGTTTGAGTAGTATTTTCTAATACTTTAGTCTGATCGTAAAGTGTTGATAAAGGGTCTATAATCATGCTTTCTTGGCTAGTTATAACCATATTTTCGGTTTGGGAGACTTCTGATATTTGATCTGCGCTCGAGCTAGTAATTGTAATTTCTGCTTCAAAGATTACTGGCTCCATTTTTGTATCCGCATCTGATTCTGTATCCATTATAGATGATTCGGTTATCCCCGTTTCCACAATCATTTCATGGATTTCCTCTTTAATGTAAGGGTTGTTGGGGCTTAAAGCTAAAGGCTTTTCCTTTTTAATATAAGGGTTGTTGGGGCTTAAATCTGAAGGCCCTTCTTCTTTTCGTTGTGAAAGATGTTTCTTTTCTTGTATTCTTGCGAGCTTGAAAGCTTTTTGTAAGTTTCTGGCTTCTACTGATGCCTTGTATTCCGAACAATCCTTTTTAATGTGTCCTGCTTTATCACAAAAAAAGCAGAGTTTGGGTGCTTCCTTCCAATCAGTTATTACTTTATGATCCCAAATATCAGTAAATCTAGGAATTCAGCTTGGAAGGTCTGGATCATCTGTTGTTTCAAAGATAACCACCCATTGATCTGAGAGAACAGAGGTTCCTTTGTATACAAGTGGTTTGATTGAAGAGATAGTGCCGATATCTTGAAAGGCTTCTTTGATTTTTTCAGAAATATGCTCTTTCCTGCCCATCGGAGCATTCTGGAGTCTAACTGACAAGAAGTTACAGTGAATATTTACCGGAATATATCCTTGTAGGGTTTGCTCAAAGACTGTAAGACCCTCTGCCGCATAAAATTGCTGCTTTTCTTCATTTGGAAGAATTACTTCTAGATGAGTTCTCTTGTTCTTATTAATTACCGGTTTTGCTGCAATGAGATCACCTCTCATTTTAATTGCTAAGGTTTCTACTTACTCAGTAGTGGAGATATTCTCAAGGTTATGTGTTTCAAAAATCAAAGCAAAATCGTTCTTGGTATGGATTCTCTTTCTGGGAGCATATGTTGAATATGTTGCTTTTCCTCTTTCGAGCTTAGCAAACAATTTCGACCATTGTTTAGGCTCTGGTTGATTATCTGCCCTTTTTGATTGGTGACTCACATGTTTGTTTATTTGATCATGCGTCCCCACGTGTTCCATTTGTTTTGGCAGATCTTGACACGCATCTACTATTGTTGTGTTTTGTACGTTGCTTTCTTCAAGAGTAGATGTTTCTTTTCCTTTGCCTTTGTTGTCTGTAACTGTGTTAGTTATATCTTGTAAACTTAAATTTTCCTTATTGTAGGAGTCATTTGTTATGCTTTGGTCCAAATATTAACTTGTTTCAACAAGCTTTACTGCCTTGTTATGCCCCTTTGGGTCATAGTTGGTGTTGTTTTCTTTGGTGTTAGAAGTTCTGGCCTTTTTAATTTTCCTGTTCTGTCCTGTTGCTGTGGAACTTGACATGTTTAAGCACACTTGCTTA